AGCTCTGAGGACCTTGGATCCCTCATTTATAAATTGGTGTAATGATGTTCCTATCCATAGGGCTATTAAAAGCATCAAATGAGGTTGCAGACGTGAAAATACTTACAAAAGTAAAGGGTGACATACACAGGCAACATGTGCTATGATCACCATTATGACCATTATTAGTCTTAATTTCTCCCTATTGTCTCCACTGTTTCACTAGGATCTATTTATAGAAGATAAAATGATGATGTCCTGTCTATTAGGAAGTAATGATTTTTCTTCTCACTTTCTCAATAAATTAAACAATTATATTTCAACTTAAAGAGCATTTAAAGGTTTTCCCAAACATCTCATTCACATAGGTAATCACAGACCTTCAATGGTACTGTTTGAATTTGAAGTTTCTAAGGGGTTTTCTCAATGGATATGCTTAACTAGAACGATAAATATAAAATCATCAAAAGTGATTAAAATATGTGATGGTATCATTCCCTATAAAGTACAGTTGAATTATAGACACTGAATAATATTCTCAGTATTATCATGAACTAGGTAAGATAAGAAAATGGAGGCTTACATATGGCTACTTGTGGAGTCAAGTGAAGAGAAGGCATAATCCTTTACGTGTAGAAGATATAGGTACTGTCAGATTAATGACTAAAATGGTGATTATTTATTCTGTATTTTAAACTAAAAAAAATTTTAATGTTTATTTATTTTGAAAGAGAGAGAGAAACAGAGTGCGAGCAGGAAAGGGGTAGAGAGAAAGGGAGACACAGAATATGAAGCAGGCTCCAGGCTCTGAGCTGTCAGCGCAGAGCCCGACATAAGGGCTTGAACTCATGTGGACTGGAAATCATGACCCGAGCCCAAGTTGGAAGCTTAACCAATTGAGCCATCCAGCTGCCCTGGTGATTATTTATTCTATTCACCTTGCTTCTCTGAGAAACTTGATCTCCCTAGGGGAAAGTATGCTTTCCAGCAGTCTGCCACTTTATTGCTCCAATGTAAATATCCAGGGGGAATGAAAAAAAGCTGAACGTGTCAAGACATTACTTTTCAAAAATTTATAGAGTTGCATCAAGGCCTGATTAAATTTGTCAATCTTACATAAACCCAATCAGATTAAAAAAAAAATGTCTTGCATAGGTACAGGGAAAAATTAGGTCATCCTTATAGTTTGCTTCAGAAAGAAAAACACAGTGTAAATATAAAATATAGGCTTTTCATAAAATGCATGGAATATTTAATCGTTACCAGAATACACTAGAGGGTATAAGAGAACCAATCTGTGCACTTGTATTCAAAAATCAATTTACTAAAATTTTAGACAATAGATTACATCACTTTTCTCTACCACTTTGCCAAAGTTAATCCCTTTACTTGAGCTCCTCATTGTATTTTTGTCAGTGGCTACAGCTCCATATTTAATGCTTCCTCTTTCTCTCAGTTCACCTGTCCTGAATTCCAAGAAATTTTCCTTGAACCTAATTCTCCCTAAAGCAGCTTTACTCCTCCCTCCCCCTTTAATTTATGGACTTTGAAGGAGATGCCTACATTTGTTGATACCTCGGCTTTCAGTTCACTCCTCAACCCACTGGGCTTCTAATTCTGTTATCCTCACTCAGCTGTCAACACAAACCTAGCAATTACAGAAAGTAATTGGTTCTTCTCATTTCTTCTCATCCTCCGGAGAGTTGTTTCTGCTCTCTGTCCTTGTCCTTTCACTATAGTCTTGTTTCCCTTAGAGTTTTATCCTCACAATATAAGAGCCAAATTCATCTTCCATTATTTGCCATTACATTGTCTACTCTCCATCCTGTGTTCCTTATGTCAACATCACCACTCATTTACTTGTTCAGGATGAAAACTTCAGCATTCTTTTTGACTCTCTATCCACTGGCTGTCCCCCAACACACACACATGCACGCACGCACGCGTGCTATTTTGTAATCCTCCTGCCTCTGAACCAACTTCGTCATCCCACCCCCACTTTCTTGACTGAGCCTGCAACATACTTAACCTACTTTGTTTCTACGAATTTCAGCATGATCTACTTCCCTGTGGTCACTTCACCCCTATATAATCACTTAACAATAGAGTAATCAGAAGCAATAAAAAGAATGTAAGTGTGTTGAATCTCACCTAAAAACTATCAGGCCCCATAGACTGTATTCACGTCTTCTTTCCCTCCTGTCACATTTCACTATTCACATCAACCAGATTGTTATTTTTTAATGGAGCCATGATTTTTCTATGTCTAACATTATGCAAATATTACCACCATTAGCCTGGCTTTCCCTAACTGTCAAAAGGTCCTTCCCTTCTCTCTGCTCCCACAGTTTTGTGAATGCCTCAAGGATGATGCTGACCATATTTTATTTTACTGGTCTAAAATGTCAACCCTCCCACTATCTGCAGATTGGCAGCTTTGAATACACTATATTTGCTCAATAAGTATTTTTATGATGGGTGAATGAATAAACAAATGTCTTGAATTTCAAATATGAGAAAATGGGACAAAAATATCATAGAAATAGGGTCATTGGGAAAAGGAAGTTGTTTTGGCATGTCTACATTTTACAATGAATTAATGACAGATATGTATTAATCATGAGGGTAACAGTTGAACAAGAAAGCATAAATTTCCAGAAGGCAATAGTGGTATAGACCTAGAGCTCACTTGTTAATAATGAACATGTACTAATTAAGGACTGTCAGGTACAGCTGAATAACAGAGTACACATTTCCAGAAAACATGTAAGTGCTAGAGATCTTGAGCTCAACTGAGATTGCAGGGCCAGAGATACTGAGAAGTCATCCGATGAAAGCTGATAGTTGAACCCATATACAAAAGGGTTTTCCAAAGCACAGACCACAGGTCAGGAGCTATACTTTGGGGAAGTATGTTGCAGTGTGATACAAGATGTTGGTGAAGAAGACGTCTGTGAGCAGGAGGGAAGAGAGGACCCAAGAGTGATGAAGGCCAGGGGATGAGACACACCTTGTGTTTCCTCTAATAATTGGCGTCTTCCTTCCACTCTGTGGGTGACTGACAAATATTACTTAAATAAATGGATTTTCTGAGGTCAATATGAATGGAAGATAGATTTCAGAATACTGAGGCAATATAACATGGTAAGGAAATGTAGATCTGTGGGATAGGGGCAGAAGGATAGGGAGACCTAGAACTTACTGAAAAAGTTTCATTGCCAAAAGGGCAGAGAAAAACAAAAGGAAACTGAATATTTCTGGAAAGATGGTGCAGACCTATGCATAAAGGTAGGTGGTGAAGTACCGTTACCTATAGCTCACAAGGACACACATTAGGGCTTACATGCTATCTTTTCCAGTAATTATTAGATCTGAGACCTGTCATTCCATAAGGTTATTAGTTAACTGGGGTCAAGAACCCTGTCTTACAGTTTTCTTGTATATCCTGCAGTGCTTCAAACAAAGACAGCTACTAAATAGGAGTTTAATAATTCAGTATTTGAATCAAAATAATTGCAGTTTAGGGGTGACTGAGTAGCTCAGTCAGTTAAGCATCCAACTCTTGATCTCGGCTCAGGTCATGATCTCACAGTTTGTGAGTTTGAGTCTCACATTAGGCTCTGTACTGACAGCATGAAGCCTGTTTAGGATTCTCTCTCTCTCTTTCTCACCCCTCTCTCTCTGCCCCTTCCCTGCTCATACACATATGTCCTCTCTCTCTCTGAAAATAAATAAACTTTAAAAAAATGATTGCAATTTAGTTGGAAGGAATGCAGTATTATCATCTAACAACTATTAATAAAATGGCAACCGGAACGATACTTGCGAAAAATGGGTAAAGCACAATTTCACTTCTAGGACCTCACTTAGACCTATAAAGCTACCTTGATAACCTGTAACCATGCCAGGAATATCACTGAACCCTCACAGACTCCATATCATCTAACTCCTGTACAAGGAATTGCAACCTGTATCGAGTTTTTGAGATAGTGTCATGAAAGATGGTGAGTGTTACTGGATAAATCTCCAGATGCAGAGGAAATCGACTCTATACAGAGGCAGAATTACAAATGACAGCACAAGTCCTATTTAGAAACCTCCAGAAATTAGAAAACTAATGAACACTACAGTAAACACAAAAATGGAATGTTCTGAGAAAATGAGCTAATGACGTATATGATCTGCAAATGTGCTTATCAGTTTTAACCATTTTCCAAGCTGTGCAGTGTCTTAAATGATATTCAGATCTGTCTGATGTTTTAAGCGCTTGCCTCTGGTGATTAATATTCCAAAAATGGTTTAATTTTAGGGGCTCCTGGGTGGCTCAGTCTGTTAAGCATCTGACTTCGGCTCAGATTATGATTTCACTGCTCGAGTTCGAGCCCTGCATTGGTCTCTATGCTGACAGCTCGCAGCCTGCAGTCTGGAGTCAGCTGCAGATTCTGTCTCCATCTCTCTCCCCTACTCTCTCTCTCTCTCTCTCTCTCTCTCTCTCTCAAATATAAATAAACATTAATTTTTTAAATGGTTTAATTTTAGCAAAGCCCTCCCAAGATCTCTCCAATGATATGGCAGACCAGTGCAAACATCCGTATGGTACATCAACTGGGATATGTTAAAAGTGCTATTCATTCTAATATCTCAAGATTCTCAAACTGAGTTTAAAGCACTTTGAAATATTATGAATGTTCATGTGGCTAGGTAGCTAAAAGTCAGTTTCTACATGAATATAAGCTAATGTTTTAAGTATAAATGTTTCCATTTAAATTCTATTTCTCACTTTTCTCAGACAATGTACTCTCTGGGAAAATAAATGTTTCTTTTCAAGAGAGACAGGGTACTCAAGGTAAATTAAATCTACAATTTATTTCCAGCTTGTATAATTTTACTCACTGTTCTTTCTAACATAGAGAATGATGCAGTTGAACAAATGTCATTGGTTTTATTAGATCATCAACTGACCAAATAAATGTACTTGATTTCCTATAGAAGTTCCCTCTGCCCTTTGTTCATCATTATACTTACATATCACTGGCAATGGAGGAGTTCCGGGACATAGACTTTGGAGACAGGTCATAATCGCTGTCGGATCGATACAGAAAGGACTCCCGACGTTGACTGTGGACGAAGTTTGCTTGGAGAATTAGCCCAGATCCCGGGCTGGTCATGGGATCCAAGGGACTCCGTCCCGCAGATGTGCCATTGTCCACATCAAAACTGTGAAAGAAGGAGAGGAATAACACTGCCATGAACACTTGCATGTTGATATGGTGGTAAAGGGAGATTCTGGTTTAGGAAGTGACAGTGGGAACATTCACAGCTGATTCCAACTGTTAAAAATGATAACATTAAAAAACACAAAGGTAAAAAAAAAAATACACTGACTTCATATTATTGTCTTCTTTAAGTTTTGGGTACTTTTGTTAACTGGCCAGATACAAGACACAGGTTTCTGTAAACTTAAGTTAAAAAGCCATTCTACTAAGAATAGTTCTACTAAGTTTCTTTTAGGAAAAGAAGAAATACACAGTAATTCTCTAACTACTTGGGTTCAATTCAACAAGTTCCCATTATATTGCCTAATACCACTGCTTCCCCAAGCCTGGGCTTTCTCTCCCTCCTGTCTATGCCCATCCAGTCACAAATTTCTGCTGTATCCACTTCCCTCCATCCCCAATGCCAACATATTAAGTTCAGGATTTCACCAACTCTCACCTACATTATTGTAACAGACTTTAAGTTAGTCTCGAATCCATTTTCCACTCTGTACCATGAGTGAGTCTTCTTAAAGTATAAATCTGACCATGATTTTTGTCAGTTCAAAACCTTTTAATAGCTCACTCTTGTCCTCAGGGTAAAGTCCAAATTTCTTGGCTAGAATGACAGAGTTTTAACTATCCACTTTCAGTCAACCATTTGATTGAATCAATGCAATCAACCATTTTCTCAATCTCAACATGCAACCCTCTTCCATCAGGCACTTGATGTTCCACTCACTTAACCATCACATCCTTGTCTCAGGCCATCACTACCTAATCTCCTGCTCCCCTGACTACTCTACTCAACCTTCCAGTCCCCTGCCTCCTTGTTACTATTCATCGAGGACTTAACATTTACCTTAAAGGCTGCCCTGATGCCCCACACCCTTATGACATGCCTTCCTCTGTACTCCCAAGGCATCTTTCCACTCCCTATTGGTAGCATTTACAATGAACTGAAAATGCTTACCAATTGGTCTCCATTCCTAGACTGTGAGCTCCCTGAGAATGGAAACTCTGAGTGTTCCTAGCACTTCACATGGCACTTCAGAAACCTTTTCTAAGTGGTTTGAATGGATGATTGAGTAAATGGAAGGCACTGTGCTTGGCAACACAGATTTCAGATTTGGGAAAAGACAGAGCCACAAATTTACAGTTCTTGACCTCACAGTCCTTACAATATACATAAAATTTCCACAAAGAGCTCTTCTAGTCAAATACTAAGCAGTATTAAAGTCAAGTCTTAGGTGTTCTTATGAGAAGAGGGTAATAGTTCAGATAACCCAGTAAATATGTAGTGTAAAAATTTGTTGAATGAATAAACAAATGAATCAAGTTTAGCTACTATCAATCTTTTTCCCATTACAAATTTCACCCCAACTATTAACTACCTAATTTAAAAACATTTAAAAAAAACATTCTTTTACTTTCTCCATTGGAGTTATTAATAAATAGTGTTATCACCCAAAAATTAGAGGCCAAAGTGGAAGATCAGCAAGGGTCTTGATGTTTCATGAATCATCTATGTATCGATAACTAAGAATCATTTGACTCAAAATCAATCTAACTTGTAAAAAAAGAAAAGAAAAGAAAAAACTCATAATCTAGCATGGACATTCATAAACAAGTTTTCCAATCTGAATTTTTTAAGAATTGAATCACTGTATGGGGCACTCAGTCATTTGAGTGTGTGGCTTCTGCTCAGGTAATGATCTTGCAGTTCATTAGTTCGAGCCCTGCATCGGGTTCTCTGCTATCAGCACAGAGCCTTCTCAGATCCTCTGTTCCCCGCTGTCTCTGCACCTCCCCACTTGCACTCTCTCTCCTCTCAAAAATAAATAAACATTTAAAAAAAGAATGGCATCACTCTATAGATGTATTTATTTGGTCATAAAAGACAATGAAAGGTTGAGTTGAAAAGACTCATTTAATAGACAAAGATAGCAGCTTCTAGAAAAGTTAATGGCCAAAGTTACCGAGCTAACTAGATTTAATCATCCACTGTTCCTGAAGCTCTTCCAGCTCTAATGAATAATTATGTAAACCATAAATGTATATTGGCAACTGTGACATGCAAACAGGGGACATCTGTTTCACCTGAACAATGCCTTCATGCATGTGGGACTTTGGGCAATCCTGAGGAAGGCCAGAAGGAGAAGGGATCTACAGTTATGAGAGACTTATTCAGGATCTCTGGCAAGCTCTTCTTGGCTATGCTTAAATAAATAAGTGCTTATTAAGCACCTATTATAAGCACACTGAGATACAAAAATAAAGGTGATGAGATGAATTCAAGTTGGGTTGAATCCAGACTTCTGAGAAGTTTTCATACAATAGTAGTATTTAAAGAGGGCTTTTGAAGGCATTCAGTATTCAGCTGAGAGACACTAAAGTCCTTTGAAAGGGGGAGATTTCTGCTCTGGGGACACTGTTATGGCAGCTCTTCAGCATGGGAAGGACCTAATGTGAACACATAAGAAAACATGTTGATTTCTTTTCAGTATCAAGATGATCATACTGTTTTAAAAAGTAAAATATATTTCCCTGCTATGCATAAACAGAAATATAAGAGATATAGGAATGTGATTTTTGGTTTGTTTTTTCTCAGTTCAACTGAGTAATACCAATATAATTCCCCAAATCTGTAAACTTCTGAATTTATTATTATAATTTTTCCAATTAAGTTAAGCAACTTAAATAAATTTTTCACTCTAAGTTTAGGGAAAAACAGTGCTAAGTATATTGAAATATTTGATAGTCTTTATAATAATGTTATTTATTAAAACCAAGAATTTATTCATAGTTCATAAAATGCTTGATAATGGGATATTTTAGTTTTGTTATTTTTCTTTGTAAGTTGTAATATAACAATTTGTCCACTAGATGGAGATCATTGCCTGAAAGAACATTGACTGTAAATAAAGGCCCAAACTATTTTTTAAACTCAGGAAAACAATCCCTTAACTATTACCTAAAAATCAAACCTCACAATCTATAGGAAGTGATTACTAAAAATCGATAAAATTATATTAACTAGTAAATATTAGTATAGCTTTACAGATTAGGAATGATCTAAGAAACGATCACTGATGTTTTATTATTTACTCTTAAAACCAAAAAAAAAAAAACAAACAAACAAACAAACTGAGAAGCTCTTTTGTTAAAAAATTAAAATTAAGGAGCTTCCTTAAGAGAAGTGATGTTTGGGACAAATCAAGGCAATACTGCTTCACCCAATGAGTAGTAAATTAACTGAGAGTTAATTTAGTCTGAAAATATACAGGGGCTCAAACAAGCTACTTATTTTTGAAGCATAACTTTATAAACAGTGCCTAATCATGGTATTATTAATAAAACAAGAAGGTGATAAGGGTTAAGCCTATCTTTAGACACTGGAACCAAAGAGATCAGCTGTGAACTTCCTAAGCACATTCTTTGGCAAACACTTTCATATAATGAATCCTCTTTTGACTCACTGCCAAAAAAATGGAGTCCAAGCAAAAAGATTAGCAGAAGCTTGGGAAAGTAAGTGAAGAATTGGGGAGGGTAATGATGATGGTGATACTAGTAATCCTAATGATAATAATGACAATAAAATTTTGGAACACTTTCCATGAGACAGACATTGTGCTCTGTACCCTATATACATTATCTCATCGAATCCCCACAATAACCCTTTGAAGTAGGCTCTCTATTTTCCACTTGACCAATGAGTAATCTGAGTTACTGAGATTAAGTAATGTGTTCAACACCATACAGTTTGTAAAGGGTTTTATTTTTTGTTTTTTTTAAGATTTACTTATTTTGAGAGACAGAGAATAAGCAGGGGAGGAACAGAGAGAGGGGGACAGAGGATCTGAAGAGGGCTCTGTACTGACAGCACAGAGCCTGATGTGGGGCTCAAACCCACAAACCGTGAGATCATGACCTGAGTCGAGGTCAGACGCTTTAACCGACTGAGCCACCCAGGCGCCCCTGGAAGTGGGTTTTAAACTTAAGCTGTCTGATTCCAGAGCCCAGGAGAACGGTCCCTGTGTGCATGTCTCTACTGCAAAGCCTCCTATTATCCATTACAAAAGTACAAGAATTTCTCTGGGCTTTCTCACATGGATGGAACTTCAAATGCTAACTCTTTGAAAGTATCATTTATACAGAAGTATCTTTAACTTACAGATCTGGCATGTCAAGGCTAATTCCGAGACTCTGCCTTTATAAGTCTCCAAATTTTGGAATTTGCCACATTTCCTATTTTTCCAATTTTGAATACAACAGTAAGGCGTTAAAGAGTCTATGCTGTAGCCCATTTGGTGATCTCTTTATAAGTTTGAGAGTTCATTTGGAATAAGGAGAGTCAGTGGGTCTGCAGAGGGTCTTAGCAAAGGGAACTAAGTGAGGCACACTGTTATTCCACATGTTAGCTGTCCTTCATGCAGTTCAAGGATGCATACATCCCCTAAGGGAGTTGGCTTTTACCCAGAAGGCATCTGTGGAGAAGCACCGATGTGGTTGTGGAGGGCCCCCTGTGGGGGGGTGGTAATGATCAGAGCCTGTTGCAATCAGAACTGTTAAAGGCCACGTGTACTAGCACTACTCAGGACCATTCACTTCACAGGCCCGTCCCTATCTAAGGAATACACTCCACACAAAAACCAAACAGATGACAAACTGAGCACCCGGCCAAACTCCTCGCCACCTCTCCACATTGCACCGTGTCAGTGGAATTACTGGCTACTTGTCCTGACCCACCTTCCCTGCAGCTTCCTCCGCTATTCCTATGATTTGTGTCTACTGACCCTGTAATTATTTGTCTGCTTGGAGTCATTTCCCGTTCTTTGGCCTCATGCTAGACCCCGCTTCTGGTTTAAACATTTTGCATCTCTTCTTGACCATTATGTGGGCTCTCCCATGAGCCACGGTCCTGCTATTGTCCTGGGTAAACAGCTCATCTCAGGTAGGGAC